TGGCAGCCTGATTATAAGTTTTGGGCTCATTATGCATAGTAATGGATGCTGTGAAACATGAGTGTGTGTCAGATAATTAAGATGTTGACAGAAATGAAGATATAGAATGTTTGATATGTTTTCCAGGTGTTCTGAAAGATGTGTTACAAGAGGAAGAAGTATTTGGGAGAGAATGTTTGTAAATGTTCAAGTAAGATGGAGGTTTTGAAGTTCTGGTAGATCTTCTCCTTGGAGGATTTGGTGACTGAGATGTATTTGAGTAAATGGTTGTGATAGGAGGAACTGCAGGTGAAGGAAGAGGTGTAGAAGTAGGAGGTCATGTGGGAGATGAAGTATGAATAACAGGAGGTAAGGTATTTGGTATAGTTTTGTTATGTGTAGTATCTGTAAAGGGGATAGGTATTGGATCTGTGTAGTCATAAGGAGGTGCAAAAGGGAATAGGTTTTCTGTTTGAAAGTTAGATTGAAAAAGAAACACATTTTCATAAAAATGCACATTCCTGGAAATAAACGTTTTCTTAGTATCAAGATTGTAAAGTTTGTAACCTTTACAACCCATGGGATAACCAAGAAGGATGCATTTAGATGCTCTTGAATCAAATTTGGATCTGTGAGATATAAGTGTTGATGCATATGAAAGACACCCAATAACTCTGAGATGATCATAACTAGGAGCTTTATTGTATAAAGTTTCAAAAGGGGATTTGTTTTGTAAAACAGGAGAGGGAATCCTATTAATAATATGAGCAGCTACTAATATGCAGTCTACCCAAAAAATGAGAGGCAAATGAGCATGAAAAAGAATGGCCCTAGCAACCTGTAATAAGTGTTGATGTTTTCTTATTGCCCTGCCATTTTGTTGAGGAGTCTCAACACAAGAAGTTTGATGTAGGATCCCATTGTTTGTATAAAAATCTTTAAGCATAAATTCAGTGCCATTATCAGACCTTAGAACCTTTATATTTTTGTTAAAATGAGTGACAACCATATTGTAAAAATGATGAAGACTCTGTTTGGTGTCTGAAATGCCAAGTATCATAATGAACAACAGCAGATAAAATAGTCTCAGAATTTACAGGTAAGTGAGAGTTTACATGTAAATCAGCAGTGTTATTGAAAAAACAAAAATCAGATAATGAAAAATGGTAGAGGCCATCTCTCAGATCAGCAGAACCAATCTGTTTCTGAGTTAAGATGTCCTATATAAAACAATGGTTTGACAGGAACTTAACCATGTATTTGGTTGAGGAAACCAATTTGGACACAGAAATGAGATTGAATTGAAAACTAGGGACATAAAGAGCATCATGGAGTGTGATGTGGTCATTTAATTTAATATCTCCTCTAAAACATGCTTCAGTGTGAAGACCATTAGGCAAATTGATTTTAACATTGATAGATTGAGGAGTTTTTTGAAAAAATGACAGATCACAAACCATGTGGTCTGTTGCCCCAGTGTCCAAGATCCAAGTAGACTTATTAATATTTCTAGAGACCAAACATGATATAGTGTTCAGAGTACCTGATGCTTCTGAGATAGCAGTAGCTACAACATGAGTAGAAAAAGCAATAGATGGCTTGTTCAGTTCCTGTTGTTTCTTGTAGGCTATAAACTCATGAAACAAGTCATTAGTAATGTTGGTATTGACAGTATTAGATGCAATAATGTTAGGTGCAGTAGGTTCAGCTTGGGTGAAATAGGCAGAGTGTTGGGCTTGAGGTCTAGGTCCCTTAGGGCCTATCCAATTTGAAGGGTAACCAATGATTTGAAAACACTTATCAACTGTATGGCCATTGTATCCACAGTGGGTACATTTGAGTTTCTTTTTGTCTTTGTTGAAAGGTGGTTTCTGAAATTTGGATTGGGAAACAGAGGTTTTAGCAGCCATGGCAACAGGATCAAGGAATTGAGGTGTGTTATGAAGTGATCTCTGTGTTTATTCTTGTAGGAGTAGGGAATATACTTTGGATAATGGTGGCAAAGGTGTGGATAAAAGGAAATGACTCCGAAGAGATGAATAGGAATCATGTAAGCCAACCAAAAACTTCATCACACAATCATTATGCTGAGAGATAGACATGGCTTCAAAGATGTTATATGTGCAGGATGTAAAGGCACCACAATTATATTTGAAAATCGGTCTATAAGTAGTATACTCATCCCACAGAGACTTAAAAGTATTATAGTATTGAGTGACCGAATTGAGCCTTGAGTAATGTTGCTGAGGGACTTTTCAAGATGAAAAACCCTAGGGCCACTACTTAAGACATATCAAGTTTGCAATTCTACCCATACATCCTTTGCAGTAGTAAAAAAATAACAACGATTGTCTGATATCCTTACAGATAGAGTTGAGAATCCAAGATAAAACCAGATTATTGGCACGCAACCAAGACATGTAGAGGATAGGGTTACCAGACATTGGCGGTGGATTGATTGAGACATCAACGAATCCGATCTTGTTTTTAGCGCTGAGCGCCATAAGAACAGTACGGGACCACGAGACGTAGTTATCCCCGTTGAATGCCTCTGCAATGATCAAGGCTCCCGGATTGTTGCTCGCGTGTAGAAAGAAGGGAGACGTCGGGTCATCAGATGGATTTACAGCAGTCGCCATCACAAAACTCAAATAGAAGGATGATTTTCACAGCAAAATCAAGTAAATCGAACAGATCGAAGAACTGATCGATCAAAATCGAACAGATCTAGAACAAAAGTTAGGGTTTCAAAGAAATAGAAATAGAGATCGAATCAGAGATTCGAACTAGTAAAAGAACAGATGCAGCGAAATAAATCGGAAAACAGAAATAAAAAACGGCGAGGATCAGCCGGCGACTGATACCATAATGAACTTGCAAATCCAACCATAGATGCGCAGTTTGGAAGAAAAAAAAAAAAAAGAGAGAGAGACGATCTTATTTGTGGAGAATGAAAAAGTGATATTCAATACAACAATAACTCTATTTGTACTTAGGGTTAATACTAGAACTAAAAATGGTAAAATGACTATATTGACCTTTATACAAAATAGGTCAAATACAAACAATAACTAAATACACATATATTATTAAGTTCCAATAGAAAATTCAAATAATAATAGATTTCAACATAGTTTCAAAGGTAATTCCATTCATAGATAATCCAATGGTTATTTTTTTAAAAAAAAAAATCAATAGAAATAAATTGCAACAAAAATATTCAGTTAGATTTTGAAGATTCCAGTAATGGTTTTTTCCAACTATTAAAATTATCAGTAGAAAAATAATTTCAATGAAAATTGCATTGTCCTATATAAATTCCCAACAATAAATTTATTGGAATTGCCAACGATAATCTAAGATGATATGGGATATCGTACCTGAAAGAATGAACTCGCGGGCAACTAGGTCGGGCTAGTAGCCTGGTCGAGCCTGTTCACAGCAGGATCGATGGTGGTCGAACATAATCAATTCAGGAAAAAGAGCCTTCGATTTGAAAGACAACGTAAGGGTCAAGGGCAGCACGCCGAGCTAGGGCCCTCGGATGACTGGCCTCCTGATAGAACCTCGACCTGTAGGCATGACTAGACGTGTGATTGACCTGAAGGAACAACACTTGGTCCAGGACATTCAACATTCTACCTCAGCAGACCTCGAGCGGGTCACACTATTAAGTGGTCGAATACGAATGATTAAGGGGAAAGAAGAAATCTTAGGGAATTAAACCCCCACATGAGTAAAATCACGTGGCACTACCTGATTGGTCCACGCTTCATAATCATTTCTGACACACTGTGCAGCGTGGGTTGTATGCTCGGGCAGTCTGCTCGCCACATCTGGGTAGCCTTCCAGAAGCAGGTACCTCACCCTTATGAATAGGGGTGAGATGTGTGATTTCATTCATTACTTCATTATACTCTATATTACATCAATGCATCTTCTACACATACTCATTTAAGCATCGGAGACAATTCACCAGAAAATCCCTCTGGTGTGAAATTTTTGCAGGTTCAAAGGCATTCAACCGGCAGAAAACTCGCAAGCATGTTGGTTTCAGCCGATCGAGAGTCTTTACATACCATAAGAGTTTATGCTTTTTTTCTTTTTTTAATAATAAATGTCTTTTTTTTTTCCAAAACGATAGATAATATTATAAATAAAAATGCACAAATGTGCGAATACACAGCAGCCAACGGCTGAATACACAGCAGCCAACAGCTGAAAAAGTGGGAGGACAGGTCTGAAGACCGCCTAGAATCCCGGCTAGCAAACACTAGAATAAAACTCACTAAACTAACCAACGAGACCAACTAAAACAACTAAACCAACAAAACATCTAAAAGGACCGCAACACGATAATACCCGAGTGTAATATATTACTTCATGAATTTCTTAAACATTGACCATGAATTTCTTAAATAAATGTCTTTTACTTCATGAAAATAATTAAACTTGACCATGAATTTCTTAAACATTGATGTATTCAACCATGATTTCAATGATTTATCAATGTTGTAACTTCTGTAGAAAAATTGGAATGAAATTATTCCATTGAAATTTTGAGGATTCGTACAATTAAATTTTCAACAATTGAAATTATTTATAAACAAATGAATAATATTAATAATAACTTCATACTCCAACAAAAATTTACAATAATAAGTTAATGAAAAATTTATTAAAAACATCATGAAATTTCACTAAGAACATCAAACAAATCTAAATTCTAACTTGATATTATAGCTAGCATTGAGTAGGCGAACACTACCAATGAAAACCCCCACGAATTCCCCACGGCTTCACTTTTTTACCAATATAATGTCCATATCTTTCATCACCT